TTCCAAATTATGACCTGTGTGGAGACAGGTCTGAAGTCAGCAGTCACTGTCACTGTAAATTGTCTAGTGGGGACTTACATCTAGCCAGAGTCAATTAAGTACACATCCCACTGCTTCTTTTTCCTGTATACCATGAGGGGTTTTAGACCAGTCCCTTGTCTGAGCAACCTTCCCAACAGACACACAGGTGTAAGAGCCGGCAAGACAACACCTATTTGCCAACTCTAATACCACCTCTTCCATGCTTTCACATTGACAAACAGTTTGGGCCTTTATGGCACATCTACCCCTAAAATTGTTAAATCTGGTATTCCATCCTGAGAGGTTACTCCCCCATTAACTATTCTGTCACCGAAGCAGTCATTCAAATGTACAACCTCAAAAAAATTACTGGGAAAGCGCCAGTCATAAATAAATACGAAAAGCGATTCCAGGTTACTCTATTTTAGAGCAGAGGAGTTTAGAGCTTTATTGGACATTAACTTGTTTCCTCTCAGCCACAGAGAAAAGACCCAAACAAAGTCCCTACATTTTCTTGTATAACTTAAAAATACATTATAGCATTACTACATATTTATACTTCAATAAATCTTAATCTATAAAGCACATTTCTTATAATTGTTATCAGAACTCTATGAACAAGCTTCATTCGGCCTCACTTCACCAGCTGGCATAGTATTTATTACTGTTTTTCAATAGGCTCACGCAAAAATCTCATTTTCATTTTAAAATTTGACCAAGCACCAGATAGAACCCAAATCGATGGAAATATTTATACTCCCATGGATCATTTTCCATGTAATGATGCCTGTCTTACATAAAAAAAACAAACAAAAAAACCCAAACCTCTTATACTCAATGCTTTTACTTCCAGAGTTTGCCATTAAACAGTAGAACCACAGTACTTGGATTCTTAGCCAAGGCATACAGAACCCTACTACTAAAATGTATTACTTTTAATATGTTTTTTTAAAGAAAATTTGTTAAGACTGTAAATTAAAAAATTCAATCAATTCTGACAGTTAATAAACTAGTTATTAATAGCCTAGTCGTTTATTTTTAAAGTAGAACAGCCATTCAACTTAACATGTAGTTATAAACTGCTATGCTACTAGAAATTACATTTGGATTTTTAAGATCCAAAAATTCTCAAACTAAAAGAGTGTATCTTAAACTCACCTCTGAAAAGTGCTAAGAGCTAACTAGCTAGCTTTCTGAGCTGACATCTCTCCCTCCAAACACAACACACCAGTAAGAGAGAACTACAACTCTGGGAATCTCAGAGGTGACCTGGGAACGCTGATGGGGACACCCTTATGACTTACAGTGTAACAAATACCTACCTACTTACAGTAGGATTACAGTACCTTGCACAGTGCATTGTCGGTAGAAATGTTTAATAATAAATGCATGGCTGTTTTAGCCTGGTGTTCAACCCTTTTGTACCAAAGGAATAAAAATAGCAAACCTGATATCGTTGCCCTCCCATCAAGGAATTTCCTATCCTTAACTAGGATGAGGGCAAAAGGAGTTAGACTGTGAGTTTTTTCTAAAAGCCACATCATATATTGCCTTAATTTTACATTTGCCTTTCAACACCAGCATTCACTACAAATTCTTTCTTAGTGTTATATTTACCTTTACTTTTACAAGTGTCTATTTTTACACAGGAAAACTGCCTTCATTAGTAAGATGCCCACAAGTTAGATAAAAATCAGGTTTTGTTTGTTGTTGAGTTCTCCTGTAGAAAGATGACTGTACTTAACTGGCAAAACTTGAAAGAGTGAAAGGGAGAAATTGGAGAAGTTACACATTGAAGTTTTGCCACCGTCACCCATCTGAGATCTTAAGGCTCATTTAACACTGAGGCTTTGGCTGGCCTTTATCTTCTATTTTTCCCAAATATACTCAAACTGAACAAAGGAAATTAAATTTTCAAAGGTGTTTTTAGATGTTGAAGATGGGCTTTTAGATCTTACAATTCCTATGCTGCCTTTTAAAATAGAAAGGTATGTATCCTTACAAAACATTCCAATGGCCAACAAAGAAATAAAGAATTTGTCTGAAAAAGGAAATTGTTAAGAAAGGGACAAAGAATCAGGTAGCTTATTACTTGGGAGGAAAAAAAAAAGAGACTATAAACATCACATGGAAAATTTAGGTATTAACACCTGAATTATTTAAAATTTCAGTTTCTAGGCATAACACCATTTCTTTCAAGATAACAATGGTGAATAAAGATTTCTTTTTTGTATTTCCCAGTGGATTTTTCTCAGTCAACAGGGAAAAAAATCTTTTCTGTATCACTTCATGTTTTTAATTTTGTCTTCATTTCTGAAGACAAAGACCTGAGTGCTTATTGTTTCCCCCTAATTTTTTAAACTTTCACAACATTCAAAAGTTTCTCTGCATTGTGTCTTCTCTGATGTCTAAAAAGATTTGAACTTTGACTGTAGGATTTTCCACACTGAACACATTCATATGGTTTCTCCCCAGTGTGGATTCGCTGATGATTAATGAGCCCAGAATTCTGGCTAAAGGCTTTCCCACACTCAAGACACTTGTAAGGTCTTTCTC